GGCAACCAAATGGGCACGCAGTGGAAAAAGGTGACGGCAGCAGGGCGCAGGATGTTTACTTCCATGTTGCTGTCAGCAATACTTCCATGTTACCCACAGTGTGCGGTTTGCAGGTCATGTAGTGATGAATACCAGGGCAGGAATTTTGTAGTAGACTGATATTTCCCAATCTTTAAAATTCTATCCCCAAATTTGAGAAGTTATCATTCCTAAAAAAAAGTAAATTAAGAAAAACTTACAGGGGCATTTTGTCAAAGCTGCTTCTGATGATGGAAGTGTTTGTTCAGTTCTAGCTGCTGTAAAAACAGTATGATGAGTGCTTTTAGTTATTAAATATACTCCATCCTTTAGAAAGAAGGTGGTGTGTTGGTGAAAGTATAGAACATGCATGTGCACGCAAAGGAACAAGACATGGGGAAATGGGATTTGTGCTGAATAACTGCCGGGTTTGCTGCTGTGGCTTTGTGCCCGCTTGTGTAAGATGTCTGAAACTGAGAAAATAAAGTCTGTGCGACAGAAGAGGGTGATAGGTTTGTTTTGCTCTAGTGTGTGTGTGTATAAATAATGTTTTCCCCCCTCCCCTCCTTTTAGCTGCTCTCACTGTTCATTAGTGTTTGGAGAGAATGGGAAGTAGATCCTCAAAAGCAAGCACAGGTATTTTCCTCTTTAAGGAATTTTCTTCGATGCGGGATTCTTGACTAAGTTGATATTGTCCTGACCCAAAAAGGGTGGCTGAGCAGATGTCTGCATTTGGGGAGGCACTGTGTGACTGCCAAAGGCTGCTGTGAGACAGTAACGACATGAACAAATTTTTCTGTCTGCTGTTTCCCCTTTCAGCCCTCTGATAGAGCAATGGTATACTTACAGTAATACTTGAATGGGTGCATGCCTTCTGTCGTTCTTGTTGCTTGTAATATTACTGGAGAAAGTAATGTTTTAAAACCAGGTTTTGATTTTTTTTTTCTACTCGCTTCCAGTTACACCAGAACCCACTCCCACTACTGTCACTGTACGTACCACTGTATACACCACTGTCTATACCTCTGCGGCTGATGTAAAAGCTTCAGAAGTCAAATGCTGGATTGATACGTAAATTCTCCACCTTTATTTCCTGACTTCACAGTTCCCTGAGACCACAGACTCCTTCTGTAAGGGAGGAGTTATATGTAATACATTTTATGTCTTGGGGCAATAAAAGGTTGCTTAGGATTTTCCAGTCTGTGCACTGGATATTTAATTCATAGTGATGCTTAGTGAAGATAAGCACCTTTTAATCTGATGGGGCTTGGGATAAATGATGTATTGCAGTTCATAACGTTTGGGGAATTTGAGCACTACTGATTCTTCAACACCTCTGCTGAAACTGGGGATCCTGACACTGTTTTCTGTGTGCCAACAGCCATGAAATACTCTCCGTATCACTAGCCTTTATTTCTGGAGTCCTGTTTGCTGTTCTGGTTTTTGCAATCATCTGCCTCTTCAGAAAAAGTAAGTGGCGCGGTAGAGGGCGTAACAGCAGCACGTTGATCCAGACCTGGTGGCAGAGAAGTGCCCAACATCTTGTGCTGCACATCTCCCCGTGGGTTGTACTAAGTTTCCATGCTCTTTGGGCTGCCTGTTACAGCTCTGGGGTTTTGAAGTGACTTCTACAGAGGTTACTTTGAAAGAGGCTCAAATTATATCTCCCTTGAATGATTAATGTATCCGTGAACAGGTCATTCCTGGCAGAAACTCCTCGTGAATCATCCCAGGGGCTGTTTTTACAGAAGAGTTAACTTCAGCACTGATGAGTTGCGGTGGTTTTGTTGGTTGAGTTTGTTTTGGAGTTTTTTCATCCTAACACTGGCCACACTGCGTTTCATCACCAAATTCCCCAGTTGCTTTCATCCTGGTCTGGGCACTTCCAAGAGGCAGGCAGGGACGGGCTGCCCTCCTGCTGCTCGCTTTGCAGTGAAGGTCTGCGGCAGATCTCACGAGCTGTGTTAAAGCCACGCACCCTGCTGCTGCCGTGTCACCCCTCTCTCGTGCTTCCCCTGCACTGCTGTCTCCAGACGTGGAGCAGACACCTGAGACTGGTCTCCCTCTCCTGCCTAGAGTACAAGAGATCCCAGCAAACCGCACAAGAGCGAGTTCCCTCCCAGACAGTGACGGAGGAAACTGCTAATAATGTCCAGGTAAAGATCACAACTATAATTTTGAATGCTTTATGCAGAGGCTTCAGATTCCTGGTGGAATGGTAAACACTGATTGGGCAGGGGGATGGAGAAAAGAGGTTTGCTCTTGCAATACTCAAGGGTTAGTCAGCAGTTCTTCTGACTAAGGAAAAGTGCTTTCTTCTGTGCATCTAGGCTCTAGCCTGTGTTTATGGTAGTCCAGGGAGATACCTGGACAGCAGGAGGAAATATTATTCCTCCTCTGTTGTCATAGGGCTCAAATGCCATCCTCCCCACGTATTTCAAGGGTTCTGGTGAACTAAACCACTAATTAGGCAGGTTAGGGGAGAATCTTCTTAAAGGGCAAGGATTTTAATTCATGATACTGATTTTTTTGGAAGCCCGTAGTGCAGAGTTGACCCAGGATCCTGAGCTGGGCCGACCACAGCTCTGAGAGAATCTTTTTAAAGGGCAAGGATTTTAATTCATGATTTTTTTGGAAGCCCGTAGTGCAGAGTTGACCCAGGATCCTGAGCTGGGCCGAACACAGCTCTGACCCAGCCGAGCATTTACTAGAGTTCCTGTGTGCGGGGACTGGCTGTGATTGCTTATGGTGTGTAGTGTTGAGGACAAATGAAGAGCAGGAAATTCATGCTGAGATCTGATGCTTGCATGCTCTCTAATGCTTGTGGCTTCTTTCACATCCCCAGAATGATATTGCCTACGCCGCTGTTGTCTTCAATCGGAGTAAGCCGCCGGTGGCTGTGTGATGATGAAGTTTCTAGTGAAACGAAGACACTTGTGCTTTCTGCACATCGGATGTTACCAGAACATTGCATCATGGCCTGTTGTGCTCTGAGACGTGCCAGTGCTGCCGCGTGTAGCCTCAGCTGATTTTAGAGCTATCAGGGGAAACTGATGCCTCCCATTCCAAACTTCTTGCCAATGGTTGTGGACAAATTGCTTTTTATACCGTATTTCCTCATCTGTAGAAATCTCAGTGAATCCTTACAACGATAGGTGTCTGTGTGTTTGCTATGGCTTTGAACTACCAAAGAGAATTGGTAAGGTTTCTCTGCATTTATTCGTGCCCGTGCCCTTGTTTCCCTTTTCTGTCACGGACCGTAGGATTTTTCTTGGTTTTTATGGTTGTTAAGTACTCTGATTAGTTATTTTCTGCTTATTGAAGTCATGTTAATGAAATATTTGTTTGCAAATGTCAGCTTCCTGATGGGGTGACATAAAAGAAACACACAACCACAGTGTGGCAGTCAAAATTCTTGGAAATGTTGATTTGTGTGTTATTACCCGTAATGTTCTAAAGACACGGTAAAAAGTTTAGGATCATGCCATAAACTGGGGAATAAGTTACCACTAGTGACTCTGTCTCAGCAGCTGCAGAGAAGCTCCTCTGCCCGTTCCTGTGCCCGCGGGCGGGAGGTTTGTTGCCCGAGGGAGTGCAGTGTCACATCTGTCACACAACGCTTCTGCGAGGCTGAATCCGGAGCGAAGTTCCCCGCTGCCCCAGCCCTCTGGGCTTCAGGAGCCTCCGTGCTTCTGGTCACCGGCGTGTCGGATGCTGGCAGGTGTTGCTCTATTCTGACAATGCAGCTGGTTGCGTTGGGCTGTGGGAAACAGGAATCCCTTGGGCAGGACAAGTGCCTCGGGTCCCGCAGCCCCCTGCGTGCTGCAGGCAGCGGGTCTGGCATCCCGGAGGCTGCGGACGCCGGAGATGGGCTGTGCCACGGGGGGTGCCACCGGCTGGGGCGCCTGATGGCAGCAGGGAAGCAGCGCTGCGAGTCGGGCTGCTGGCTTTCACCGGCTCGGGAGCAGAGCTTCTCTCTGTTTTGCCGAATCTCATCTCAGGCTTGGTGGGTTTTTTTTCAAGCGCTATTTAATAGAGACAATACTCATTTACTCCTCAGAACGTGCAGCTGCTGAGAGGCTCATGGGGGATGATTGCAGTGGGTTCACAGTTTATTTTTTGGTTGTTTAAAAACTCTTTTCTCAACTTCTCAGAAATACCCAGGCAAAGTTTGCTGTGTGGCATTCTGATGAATCATTTTCTGGTCTTTAGGTGGGATCTGGTTTTCTGCTGAAAGCAATCAGTTCTATCAGCTGATACGGGAGATGGTGCAGCAGAGTTCTGGTGTGCTTCTGCAGTGGCTTCCTTTGCTGGCCTGTGTGTTAGAGTGGAACCGTGCGACAGGGCAGAGCTTTGGCCTGTGACAAGGGTTACATCAGATTATAAATGGAGATGTCTGATCTCAGATAAAGGAGCAGATGTCAGCACTTTCTGAGATAAATAACAGAATGATGCACTCCCTTTTCTGCTTTTTCTAGACCACTTTCTTACTTAGAGATGGAGAAAAAAAGATCCTGGCCTTTGCTGACCTATTTTCAGCTTGAGCTGTGTGTCATATTTACTGCAATTTCTGTGCTGTCCTGGTCAGAACACCGACTAAAACAACGTGGGGACTTCATGCAGGCTGCTTTTTTGGTTGTTGTAGAAGAAGAGCAGGCTGAATTAATATACAATCTATCTAATGGCCTCAAGTTACACCAGGGAAGGTTTAGGCTGGATATTAGGAAAAATTTCTTCACTGAAAGAGTGATCAGGCATTGGAACAGGCTGCCCAGGGAGGTGGTTGAGTCACCATCCCTGGAGGTGTTCAAGAAACGTGTAGATGTGGTGCTTAGGGACATGGTTTAGTGAGTTAGGTGGTGTTGGGTTGGACTTGATGATCCTTGAGGTCTTTTCCAACCTTAATGATTCTATGATTCTATGATTCTAATATTTATTATTATTAATGAAAATGTGACAATGCTGAGGGCAGCACAAGTTGCCTAACTCAAGTAGATAGCCTGAACTGAGAGAGAAGACAAAGGATGTAAGAACAGTCAGCGGGGACATGCCTGGATTGTGAACTGCTGTGTCACCAACAAAGAACACCTTTATCCCATTTTTCAGAGGACTTAGCCAATCTTTATGGAAGGAAAAACAACACTAGACAAAATTTGTCTGAAGGATCTCTTCTGTATTTTGAAACAATTAATACAAAGGCATATCTAGACACGTATTTACATACACCTTTAGAGTAGCCTTCAGATCTGTAACAGGGTGCTACAAAAAAGAGCAACTAGTCCTCAGGTTTACAGGGGAGACTTGCAGAGAATTACATTTAAATCAGGTGTTAGGAAAACTGTGATTGCAGGGAGAATAAAGCATGGGACTATGCTGTGTGGGAAGAATCCACAAAATGTCTGGGTTTTAGTAAAAAGTTAGGAAGATGCATCGTTGATGGCTTAGAGATAGTCGATTCTGTCCTTGGTTAAGGAGCTGGAGAAGGAGGAAAGAACTTAAATATATCGTTAGTTTATTTTTTGACAGTAGTGTCTGTCTGGCATGCCCGGCATGCCCCCCTGTCCCTGGCATATTTCGTTAGTGACTAGCGTCAGTGTGTTCAACAGGTCAGCTCTTGCCC